GTATCGGCTGGTGACTTGCACTCTGTGCTTGGCCCCTCAGAGCAGCCTGGGAAGGAGGTGTCAGTCTTACTTTTTCTTAAGCATGTGAATATGAGAGACCCGCTCAGATTCACACAAGAAGCCCAGGGCAGGAATGTGAGGCATCCTGCTCAAGTGAAAGAGATAGACAGGAAGACAGAGAGAGTTCATTTCGGGCCCTCAGCCCTATGGCGTGTCTAGAGGGTTCATTTTTTTTTTTTTAATTTTATTTATTTATTTGACAGAGAGAGCTCACAAGTAGGCAGAGAGGCAGGCAGAGAGAGAGGAGGAAGCAGGTTCCCTGCTGAGCAGAGAGCCCGATGTGGGGCTGGATCCCAGGACCCTGAGATCATGACCGGAGCTGAAGGCAGAGGCTTAACCCACTGAGCCACCCAGGCGCCCCAACTCTCCTTCTTCTTCTTCCTTTTTTTTTTTTTTTTTTTTTTTTTTTTTTTTAAGATTTTGTTTATTTGTCAGAGAGAGCAAGGGCACAAGCAGGGGATGCAGCAGGCAGAGGGAGAAGCTGGCTCCCCGCCGAGTGAGGAGCCCAGTGTGGGACTGGATACCTGGACCCTGGGATCATGACCTGAGCCGAAGGCAGATGCTTAACCGACTGAGCCACCCAGGCATCCCTGGACCACTCTTCTGAGCGATCATCTCCTCCGGTGTTGCTGCTCCCTGACCCCTGTCTCAGGGTATCTCTCCTCCTGTGGTCGCTTTCATTCACTGACCTGCTCAAAGCTACAGACACAAAGACAGCAGTTAGCATAGGCGCTGTATAAAAATCTTTAAATTCCTCTCTGGCAAAAGACACCTTATGTGCAATTACCGGGAACAATAACCTGGGGCAAAAATATTTACCACAGTGATACCAAAAAGGAGACAAAGCCCTTCATGGGCAACTTATGCATATGGTTAAGGGAAAAAACCCAATGGCATGCAAAGAAGGACATGCACAGCCATGTTAAAAATGAGAAATACGAATAAACACCTGAAAAGGGTAGGTTTGTTTTTTTTTTCCTTTAAGATTTTTTATTTGAGAGAGAGCAAATGTGGGGGTGGGAAGGGAGGGAAGGGGAGAAGCAGACTCCCTGCTGAGCAGGGAGCCCAGTGCAGGACTTGATCCCATAATTCTGAGATCATGACCTGAGCCCAAGGCAGACGCTTAACTGATTGAGCCACCCAGGCTCCCCTGAAAAGGTAGTTCTATTAATTTACGGTCAAATAAGTGGGAATACTAATACAGATTGTTCTTCCAAATCAGATTGCCAGAACCATAGAAAATTATATAACCTGCTCTTGACCATTGTATGGAGAACCCTGGTTGTCGTATTCTCTTAAAAGATTAGGGAAGTAAGAAAAAGATTGGGAAGAAAATCTACCATCATATGATCATAATTTTGAATGTGCTTATTTTTGACCTTTTAATTTTCTCTTGCAATTATTTTCAAGGCAGCAGGTGGGGGAACAAAGCTACATAATATATGTTCTTTGTGGGATGGATTATAATGAGAAAAATACGTAAAACTAAATACCATTTATGCAGAACAGGTAAGGATAGAGGATCCGTTCTCTGGGATAATGCAGCCACACATTGTGATGAAAATATTACTCATGCTGGCAACACGAAGAAATAGTACTAATGATATCAGATGTTTTTTAGGCACTTAACTCTGTGCCCCACTCTGTTCCAAAGACTATAGGTATTCCCTTGTTTAATCCTTGGAAAGAACTCTGTCATAGAAGAACCACATATGGAGAAGTTCAGGCACACGGACAAAATTGTGCAGAGTAAAGCACACACCCTTGGGAATAGCACCGAAGCCTTCGTTTCTAGAACATGGTGCCGAATGTTACATAGGGCCAACCACAGCGCTGTCCTACAGGGTTACCTAAAGCTTGTGAGTTTGACATGTTAGAGCAAAGGGACAGGGTTCATATGTGAGAGAGGAAGAAGGTGGGTACAATCAAGTATGTTTGGGCTAAATTGCAAAATACTTCTGGGACGGTGGGCAGTGGGCACCACAAAACAAAACATGGGTTGTCCAGGATGTGTATTCAGAGCTCTTGGTGGTTACTTATAAGTAGACCGCATGAAGACACAAAAATATACAGACATTCATCAACAGATGAATAGATAAAAAAGATGTGGTATGTATATACAATGGAATACTATGCAGCCATCAAAATTTGAAATCTTGCCATTTGCAACAATGTGGATGGAACTAGAGGGTATTATGCTGAGTGAAATAAGTCAATCAGAGAAAGACAGTTATATGATCTCTCTGATATGAGCAATTTGAGAGGCAGGGTGAGGGGCTTGGGGGTGGGGAAGAAAAAAATGATACAAGATAGGATTGGGAGGGAGACAAACCATGAGAGACTCAATCTCACAAAACAAAATGAGGGTTGCTGGGGTTGGGGTGGTTAGGGAAAGGGTGGCTGGGGGATGGACACTGGGGAGGGTATGTGCTATGGTGAGTGCTGTGAAATGTGTAAGCCTGATGATTCACAGACCTGTACCCCTGGGGCAAATTAATACATTATATGTTAATAAAAATAATTAAAAAAAAAAACATATGGGCATTTTCATTGCCACACTCTTTGGTGAGGCTGAGGAAAGTCAGTGTGTGGCATTGGTAGGGTAGAAGGGGAAGGGCCTAGAAGCCTATGAAGGACTTGAGTCCCTCAAATTCTGAAACCGCTTCCCACCATCCTCGCCTCCTCAGCGCGGCTCCGCTCCCAGTGGCCACCAGATACAAGATTGAGGTTGCATGTGTTTGGTGTTGTAGGAGACGGTGACATTCAAGGATGTGGCGGTGGTCTTCTCGGAGGAGGAGCTGGCGCTGCTGGACCCTGCCCAGAGGAAGCTGTATGGAGACGTGATGCTGGAGAACTTCAGGAACCTGATATCTGTGGGTGAGCACAGGCACTCTATGGGTATGTGGCAGGTGTCTGGAAATACGTGTTGACTTGGTGAGTGTGTCAATGGATGGGAGACCTGTATGTCTCCGTGGGTCAGGAAGATAGCTGTACGTCATGTGCAAACCAGAGTGAATGAAGGATGTTGTAGAACACTTTTTGTCTTCTACTGAATGCCTGTCTAGTTACTTTCTATTTCACTCACTTTCTTGGGGTGCCCTTGGCATGAATGTATGTTTGGGTCTGTGCACTTGACCCGTGTCCCGGAGAAACTTACAAGCATTGTGGTTGTGACCATACTGAGTAAACACCCTTTGCCTGCAACTTGCCTGAAATCTTCCACTGCGGGGCATTTTCCTTTCTGGGAAGAATACTTGTGGGATGAGAATTCTGATTCTGATTCTCAGATCGCCCCACAGAAGGAGGAAGATCTGTTTGCTGTAGTGTCAGACACTACCAGCCAGGTCGTAAGCCGCCTTCCTCTTGAAGATTTGCCATCTCAGCCCATTTGCCTCCTTTGGAGCCCGCACCCATGTTAACTACCCCCGCTTTCCCCTTCCCTGTCCTCGAGGGGGAACATTTAAGGTGAGAGTAACAGGAGACACATACGTAAATACTGCCTGTACATCTGGCTCAAAATATATCGTGCCTTTTATTTCTACAAATGTAGCCATTGAATGTTGAAGAATATAGATGTCATACAGTTTTTCCTTGATTTTTTATGAAGATGGGGTGTTTTTCAACTGGTGAATATTCTAACCTAGAGAGAATCAGGGAACTTGCTATCCCATCCTCAGAGATACTCCCTGTTCCCCTCACACAGCTACTGTTGTTTTGTTTTTTTCAGGATTTGTTTATTTGAGAGAGCATGTGTGTGAGCGGTAGGAGGGGCAGAGGGGGAGAGAGAAAGAATCCCCAAGAAGACACCCTGCCAAACTCGGAACCTGATGTGGGGCTCGATCTCACAACCCTATGATCATGACCTGAACCGAAACAAACTGAAACTGCTTAACTGCCCAAGCCGCCAAGAAGCCCCACACGTCTACTCTTTTTAAGGGGCGATTTGTTAAATAAAACCATGAACTGCACTGCCTACCAGAAAAGTACATACTCACCTAAGTAATGTTTTTCCAAGATTCTGTTCTTGAAACTTAACTTTCCATTTGAACAATTCGTGTAATTAAAAACTGGGTTGGGACACCTGGGTGGCTCGGTTGTTAAGCGTCTGCCTTTGGCTCAGGTCATGATCCCAGGGTCCTGGGATCGAGCCCCACATCCGGCTCCCTGCTTGGCGAAGGCCTGCTTCTCCCTCTCCCACTCCCTGGCTTGTGTTTCCTCTCTCACTGTCTCTCTCTGTCAAATAAGTAAATACAATCTTTAAGAAAAAAAAAACAAAAACTGGGTAAACTTCTAGAACCAAAGTTTTCAAGTTTTTTTGAACATGAGCCATAGTGAGAAATGGATCTTTCATTGTAATCAGAACAAACATTTCACATGTCAGTTCATACCTGTGACTATCATAGGCATTTTCTGTAATGACCCCTGTCTTATTGACTGTGATGCTTTGATAGTTTCTGTCCTGGCTCTTTTTTCTGAAAGCTTTTTATAAGCTTCTAAATCTTTCCAGCTCACTGGCATATTGGAGTTTTTTAATTTGTTTGTTTTTTTTAATGATTTTATTTGTTTGCCAGAGAGAGAGAGAGTGTGTACAATCAGGGGGAGCAGCAGGCAGAGGGAGAATCAGGCTCCCCACTGAGCAAGGAGCCTGACCATGACCTGAGCCCAAGGCAGCTGTTCAACGGACTGAGCCACCCAGGCTTCCTGGAGTTTTTTAGTTTGAAAAATTATTGTGATGGGCTGTTTTATCCACACATTCATATATGCACTGTTTTTCTACATTCTTTCATCAGACAGACACTCCTAAAGCTTCAGAAGGAACCAGCAATAGACCCTCCTTCCTTTTCACCCCAGGAATTCTTGCCACCTTTCTTTTCCCATCTCTCTCTCTCTCTCTCTCTTTTTTTTTTTTTTAACATGAGAGAGTGAGCACAGAGAGGAAGAAGCAGACTCCTGCTGAGCAGAGAGCCTGATATGGGGCCAATCCTAGGACACTGAGATCATGACCTGAGCTGAAGGCAGATACCCAACTGACTGAGCCACCAGACACCCCCATCTTTGATTTTCTTATTAGTATCCTGCCTCATGTACCTCTGGCTCTTGATGTCCCCTGTACAGCTTTTCAGCTTCTCAGCAAGATCACAGTGTTCTGTCCCTTTTCTGTTTCAAATAACTTACTTGGAAAAGATGTTTTCCTTCTAGGACTTGGCTTAAACTCTCACCAGAATGGTCAAACTGGGATTCATTTAGTCATTCAGCATGGATTTTTTGACTATGCACGATGTTCCGGGCATGATTCTGGACATTGGTTATAAAGTAGGAAAGTGTAAAATGTGTTCAGCCTACAAGGTGTAACATGCTTCCCCCCTTGATGCTGCATCATGGTGGGAAAGACGTGGTGAACAGCAGATGACTTAGCGTGGTGCAAGGTGCTGCGTGGAACATAAACAGGTAGGGATGGGAGTCCCCGGAGGTGAACGGGGTTAGGACAGGATCAATTATTTTACAGTGGGTGATAAAGGGCCTCATTGCTGGGCTCACTTTGAGCAGAGACCTCGAAATCACGAGGAATGACCCACGTGTCTATCTGGGAAGGGTTCTGGCAGGATTGAACTCCCCACTCCAGGACTGGCTTTCAGAGTTCATGCTGTGATCGTATCTTTTCCTTCTCCCAGGCTCAATTTCTTTTGTTTTCACATTTTCCCTAGAGATCTGAATTTCTGTCAGGTTTTAGAGCCATGTATGTTTTCTGTTCAGCTTTATTTCCCTTTTATCCTCATGAAGGGAACTTGCCTATAGAAACTAAGTTCTGCTCTCTGCTTTATGCTGTGTTTTAGTCCGTGTGCTTTAGGTATTTGCTCCCAAACCTGCAAGTCATTCACCTCGACACTGAAGTAACTTTCCAATAAAGTGATCTGAGGCTTGTATAGCTGTATAGAAGCTGTTTCCCACATGCCTACTGGATTGAAAGAGGGGGCAGCTTTTAATTGACTATTCATACAGGTAGGGGAGTGAATTCCTCTCTTTTTTTTTTTTTTAAGATTTTTTATTTATTTATTTGACGGGCAGGGGGCACAAGTAGGCAGAGAGGCAGGCAGAGAGAGACGGGGAAGCAGCCTCCCCGCTGAGCAGAGAGCCCGACGCGGGGCTTGATCCCAGGACCCTGAGATCATGACCTGAGCTGAAGGCAGAGGCTTAGCCCACTGAGCCACCCAGGAGCTCCTCCTCTCTTTTTTCAAAGATTTTTTAAAATTTATTTGACAGAGAGAGGGAGAGAGAGTGCAGGAGTGCACAAGGAAGGGGAGTGGCAGGTGGAGGGAGAGCAGGCTTCCTGCTGAGCAGTGAACGTGACGTGGGGCTTGATCCCAGGACCTTGGGATCATGACCTGAGCCGAAGACAGATGCTTAGCTGACTGAGCCACTCAGGTGGTCTGAATTTCTCTTTCGTAAACATTTTATTCAGTAGTGCTTTCAAAGTCTATTTTTTTAGAGCAGTTTTAGGTTCATAGCAAAATTGAGAGGAAGGGACAGAACTCTCCCATATAATTCCTGTCCCCATGCACCCACAGCATCTTACATCCATATCCCCTGCCAGATAACATTGGTGACTCTGTATTGACAAGTTGGTATCGCAGAGTCTGTACTTTACATTAGTACTCTCGGTGTTGTACATTTTATGGATGATGTGGACAAGTGGATAAAGCCAGGTATCCACCCTTATCACACAGAGTAGTCACACTGCCCTGAAGATCCCGTTCTCCACCTCCTCATCCCTCCCCTCTGACCCTGAGCAACTGCTGATCTTTTTATTCTGTCCCTACTTTTGCCTTCTCAAGAATGTTGTAATGTAGGAATTATACTTTTCATTTTGGATTCTTTCACTAAGTAATATGCATTTACATTTTCTCCGTATCTTTTCTTGGTTTAATGGTGATATCATTTCTTTTTAGCACCAAATAATATCCCATTGTATGGGTGTACCACAGCTAATATTTATCTCTTCACCTACTGGAGGACATCTTGCTTCCTTCCAAGTTTTGTCCTTATGAATAAACCTGCTATAAAAATCTGGGTATAGTTTTCTATATGGGCCTAAAATTTCAGTTCCTTTTGGTTAATTCCAAATTGTGCAATAGCCAGGAGAGTATGGTAACAGTATGGTTAGTTTTGTAAGAAACCACCAAACTCAGGGCACTTTGTGTGGCTCAGTTGGTTAAGTGTCTGCCTTTGGCTCAGGTCGTGATCGTGGAGTCCTGGGATTGAGCCCAGCATTGGGTCCCCTGCTCAGCAGGGAGTCTGCTTCTCCCTCTACGCCTCCCCCTGCTCGTGTTCACTCTCTCTTTCTCTGTCTTTCAGATAAATAAAAATTTAAAAAAAAAGAAAAGAAAGAAACAACCAAACTCTTCCAAAGTGGCTCTATACCATTTTGCATTCCTACCAGTAAAGAATGAGAATTCCTGTTGCTCCACATCTTGGTGGCATTTGATAGTGTTGGTGTTCTGGATTTTGGCCATTCTAATATGTGTGTAGGGTATCTCGGTGTTTGGATTTGCATTTCTCTGATTACATAAGATGTGGAACATCTGTATTTTTATTGGCCCAATAAATCAATACTTATTGATTTGTTGGCCCAACAGTCAATATTTTTATTGGCCCATCTGTATATTTTCTTCAGTAAGGTGTATATTAAGGTCGCTGGTTCATTTTTTAACCACATTCTTTTTTTCCTTATTGTTGAGTTCTTAAGCTAATTGAAAAGGTTATTGGAAAAACAATCTCCAGTGTTCAGATAACTTTTGTATAAATATAGAGACTTGGGAATACCAATGGGATAAACCTTTTAGAAAACACATCTCTGAACTTAAATTATTAGAAGTGGTCAAAAATGTATAATAGTAGCCGACTCATTTAATGTCTGTCAAAACAGAAAGATAAGGTAGACATGTGCAGAATTTCCAGGAATACTTTGCATATATAAATATAAGTATTTCAAGGTATTTGATATTAGGATATATAACATGAAACCCAAATTTGATGGTTACTGCTTTTCCTGAAGTTCTAGTTGATTCATATTTTATTATATAATGTTTCTGTTTCCATTATTTATTAACTACATAATTTACTATTCAAGATTCTACACTGACTTTCAGATTCAGTGGAAATGGCCGTAGGTTCACAGTTTGAATCATATTATCAATTTTTGAATTAAGTCTTTGACATCTAACTTGTACCTCTCTTAGGAGACTTGGTGTGGGGGCGCCTGGATGGCTCAGTCGTTAAGCGTCTCCCTTTGGTTCAGGTCATGATCCCAGGGCCCTGGGATTGAGCCCCACACTGGGCCCCCTGCCTGGTGCTCCCTCTCCCTCTGCCCCTCCTCCCTGCTTGTTTTCTCTCTCTCTCTCTAATAAATAAATAAAACCTGTAAAAAAAAAGGAGACTTGGTGTGTACTTGCATAGTGGATAGAAGCCCACTGGACCCCCTCTTGGATTTCATATACACGTAAACCAGAGAATAAGATACACAGTGGAAAAGACCAACTGAATATTCTCTGGATTCATTAAAGTCTTATGCTCTCACCTAAATGTGAAATCTTGAAAACACTGAACAGAGTCTTCAGTTGTCCATTTCTTTGCATTCTGTCTCTACAGGAGGAAAGATCCAAAGTAAGATGAAGACTGTTTTAGAAACAGAACCATCTGAAGAGCTTTCCTGCTGGCAGATCTGGCAACAGATTGCAATTGACTTAACCAGGTGTCAGGGCTCCATGATAAAGAGTTCTCAGCTCCCCAAACAAGGTGATTCACCCGGACAGGTTGGGGCAGGACAGTCTGTAACTCACACAGGCCAGAAACCTGATCAGTCTAGTGAACTTAAGAAATATTTCAGTGATGTCTCCAGCCTTGATCTTCATCAACAAACACACTCAGGAGTGAAGTCTCATATATGTCGTGAGTGTGGAAAAAGCTTCTGTTATAGTTCAGCACTTCATATTCACCAGAGAGTTCATCTGGGAGAGAAACGCTACAAGTGTGATGAGTGTGGTAAGGAATTTAGCCAGAGCTCATGTCTGCAAACTCATCAGAAAGTTCACACTGTGGAGAAGCCGTTCAAATGTGAGAAGTGTGGGAATGGCTTCTGTCGTAGATCAGCACTTAATGTTCATTATAAATTGCACATGGAGGAGAAACCTTATAACTGTGACCAATGTGGAAGGGCCTTCATTCATGCTTCACATCTTCAGGAACATCAGAGAATCCACACTGGGGAGAAACCCTTCAAATGTGATAAATGCGGTAAGAATTTCCGACGTAGATCATCGCTTAATAGTCATTGTATGGTCCACACAGGAGAAAAACTGTTCAAATGTGAGGAGTGTGGGAAGTGTTTCTTTTGTAGCTCAAATCTTCATATCCACCAGAAGGGCCACACACGAGAGAAACCTTATAAGTGTGAGGAGTGTGGGAAGGGCTTCATTCAGCCTTCGCATTTTCGGGCCCATCAGAGAATCCATACTGGAGAGAAACCATATGTATGCAAAGTGTGTGGTAAAGGCTTTACTATGAGTTCAAATCTTCAGGCACATCAGAGAGTCCACACAGGAGAGAAACCATACAAATGTGATGAGTGTGGGAAGAACTTTGGTACAAAAACCCGTTATCAAGTTCATCTGGTAGTCCACACGGGAGAGAGACCCTATAAATGTGAGGTATGTGGGAAGGACTTCAGTCAAAGAGCATATCTTCAATCCCATCTAAAGACCCACAGTGTAGAGAAACCTTACAAGTGTGAGGAGTGCGGGCAGGGCTTCAATCAGAGTTCCCGACTTCAGATTCACCAGCTGATCCATACTGGTGAGAAACCACACAAATGTGACGAGTGTGGGAAGGGATTCAATCGTAGAGCAGATCTCAAAATTCATTGCAGAATCCACACAGGAGAGAAACCGTTTAATTGTGAGGAGTGTGGGAAAGTATTCAGGCAGGCTGCAAATCTTCTGGCCCATCAGAGAATCCACAGTGGAGAGAAACCATTCAAATGTGAAGAGTGTGGGAAGAGTTTCGGTCGCAGTTCACACCTCCAAGCCCATCAAAAAGTCCACACTGGGGAAAAGCCGTACAAATGTGAGGAGTGTGGGAAGGGCTTCAAGTGGAGCTTGAATCTTGACATGCATCAGAGGGTCCACACAGGAGAGAAACCGTACAAGTGTGGGGAGTGTGGTAAGCACTTCAGTCAGGCCTCAAGTCTGAAGGTTCATCAGAGTGTTCACAGTGAAGAGAAACCATACAAATGTGATGTGTGTGGCAAGGTCTTCCGCCACTCTTCGCAGCTGCAATCTCATCAGCGGGTTCACACGGGGGAGACACCTTACAAGTGTGAGACGTGTGGTCAGAGCTTCCGTTGGCGATCAAAACTTTCACATCATCGCAAAACTCATGGTGGCAATACATTTTATGAAAGTAAGAAGAGTGGTAAGAACATCAAAGGATCATCAGAAAGATGTTCAAAATGATGCTTTGTAAAACCCTGAATTCCTGTCATCACGGAGTCTCATAAGAGAGAAAACAGTTGTGTTAGTCTAGTTGGTACTTAAGCAATAATTGAACATATCTCAGCTTTCACAAGATAACACAGTGGAGAAACCCTGTAAGTGGTGTGGTGAGTCTTTTTTCAGAATTACTTAGAAGGTAGTAGTACTTAGGAAAAGAGTTTGGTCCGACCTTTAACACAAGTATAAGGATGGGTATACCAGAATTGATACCCACTAGAATGTAAGCTCCATGAGGGCAGGGACTTTGCTGCTAAGTCTACACAGCCCTCAAAGCTAGAGGCATCATAATTCTGGACTTCAAGTTATATTACAAAACTGTAGGAAATAAAACTGTTATGGTACTGGCACAAAAATAGACACATTGGTCAATAAAACAATAGAAAACCCAGAAATGACCCCATAATTATATGGTCAGTTAATCTACAACAAAGCAGGAAAGAATATCCTATGGGAAAAAGATATTTTTTTCAACAAATGGTGTTGGGAAAACTGGACAGCCACATGCAAAAGAATGAAATTGGACTACTTTCTTACATCATACACAAAAATAAATTCAAAAATGGATGAAAGACCTAGGTGTGAGACCTGAAACTGTAAAAGTCCTTGAAGAAAGCAGAGGCAGTAATTTCTCTGACATCAGCTGTAGCTATTTTTTTCTAGATAGGTCTCCTGAGGCAAGAGAAACTAAGCAAAAATAAATTATTGGGACTACGTCAAAATAAAATCTGTATAGTAAAGGAGACAATCAGAACTAAAAGGCAGCTTACTGAATGGGTGAAGATATTTGCCAGTGACATACTTGATAAGGAGTTAATGTCCAAAATATATGAAGAACTTATAAAACTCAACAAAGAATGAATAATCCAATTAAAAAATAGGCACAAGACATGAGTAGACGTTTCTCCCAGAGGAAATCCAGATGGCCAACAAACACATTGAAAAGATGCTCAACATCAGTTATTGTCAGGGAAATACAAATCAAAATTACAATGAGATAGCACCTCATGACTGTCAGAATGGCTAAACTCAACACAAGAAACAACCGGTTTGGGTGAGGATGTGGAGAAAGGGGAACCCTCCTGCACTGTTGATGGGAATGCAAACTGGTGCAGCCACTGTGGAAAACAGTATGGAGATTCCTCAGAAAGTTAAAAATAGAACTACCCTATGATCTAGTGATTGTACTACTTGGTATTTACCCAAATAATACAAAAATACTAATATAAAGGGATAACGCACCCTAGTGTTTATAACAGCATTACTTACAATAGCCAAACTATGGAAAGAGCCCAAGTCACCGCCCCCTGATGAATGGATAAAGAAGATGTATATATATACAATGAATAGTATTCAAGCATAAAAAAGAATGAAATCTTACCATTTGCAACAACATAGAGCTAGAGATTGTTATGCTGAGTGAAATAAGTTGACAAACACTGTATGATGTCACTGTATGATTTAAGAAACAAAGCAAATGGGGTGCCTGGGTGACTCGGTTAAGCGTCTGCCTTTGGCTTAGGTCATGAACCCAGGGTCCTGGGATCGAGCCCCGCATCAGGCTCCCTGCTCAGCAGGAGAGTCTGCTTTTCCCTCTGCCCCTGCTTGTATGCTCTCTCTCCAATAAATAAATGAATAAATCTTAAAAAAACAAAACAAAAGAGCAAAGGGGGAAAAAGAGAGGCAAACCAAGAAACAGACTCTATATAGAGAACAAACTGTTATCAGAGGGGAGGTGGTTTGGGGGGTGGGGGGGCGGATAGAATGGATTCCACAGGTGATGGGGATTAAGGAGAGCACTTATGATGAGCACTGGGTGATATATGGGATTGCTGAATCACTATATTGTACACCTGAAACTAATACACTGTATGTGAACTAACTGGAATTTAAATAAAAGTTTTTAAAAGATCTACACAGCCTTAACATTGACTAGCACTTGTAGGTGTGCTCACTGCTTGTATGTTAAACAAACATAGGAAGATTGACCCAGAGGAGGAAACCTGCAAAATAAAATTAATTCAGGGAAATGAACATTTGTGGAAATGTAGAAAACCACCTGATCTTAAATCCACAACGTTAATGTAATTACTACAGTTGGTTCTTCTCTTCCCACAGCCTCTGTTCTCAAGTTGGGTTCTTATCTGGGCCCCTGTCTGGTTTTCCAAGGATTGTATACAGTGTATATTGAACTGTCTTTTGTAATTTTTCTGACAGGACAAACTGGAAAAATGATTTTACATTAGCTAGGATTTAACTGCATTTCACACACCTTTTTTATCTATCAATGTTAAGGCAGGAATTTATTGTAACACTTTGAAAGTGTCACCAGTAGTTACCAATAACAATTTTTTAAAAAGATGTTATTTATTTACTTGACAGACAGAGAGGGAATGCAAGCAGGGGGAGTGGGAGAGGGAGAAGCAGACTTCCTGGCCAAGCAGGGAGCCTGATGTGGGGCTCAATCCCAGGATCCTGGCACCATGACCTGAGCCAAAGGAGACAATTACTGAGCCACCCAAGCGCCCCAACAATTTTCTTAATCAGCCTTGAATTGGTGATTTGTAACTGCATTTCCATCCCAACTCAAAATGTTTGCCTTCTAATTACTGTAGTATTTATCAAAACTTCTCACATAGGGTCTATGTCTTATTCCCCACACCCATGAAAGGAATGCCCCCCAAATTTGTGAGAATTTGATAATTTTATCAAATGTATTTTTGAGGCAAGATTGATAGTTACATGCTTTTCCCTATTGAAAGCTCGGAAGCATTTTTCTGGGAAAGGAGTATATGTCAATATAGATAATATGTCTCTTTGATCTGGAAATCTTGTATTTGGAAATTAAGATTATGAGATTAAAATACCAAAAAGAGGAGCACCATATTGATGATTTCACTGAGTTTTTATAAATGGGAGTAAGTACACATATGTAGGAATTTGAGTTTTGGTATATTCCTATATTAATGTGAAGCCATTAAGATTATGGCAGATAACTGTAATGACAGAAATGTGTATAACGTGTTACAGGCTTTGAAAAATCATAGATTGTAGCATTCATAGCATAATCAAACAAATACTTGTGAGTCTGTCTCTGTGTGCACACATTGTATATGTGTACATGTATAAGACAATGTATAAAGGGATGCTGTTCCATGGTGGTTTTCCTTGGCAAGGAGCATTTATTTTGTGGTCTTTTCCCATTTTTTAAAAATACCTCTGTCCTCCATCCCTGTTATCTTTCCATTTATGTTTCAGTTTTTCATTGAATATGGAATATTATCAAAGCAGTAAATTGCTGTAATAGAATTTAGGAATGTACCAGGTAATTATCCCTTTAAATTAAGCCATTATGAGTGTTCTATATTGTCATATGGCATACATAAGATCAAAATTAAAGAATGGGCTCTGGAAGCCAATTTCAAAGCCAAGAGCTTCTCTGACTGTTTTACATAGACAAATAACTTCATGAGTTTTAGCAGTTGTATCTTTGTAATAAATGCATGCTCCGCTTGAAGTGTAAATCCATAACAGGGAGTGGGCAGATCCTGGAGCTAAAGCAAAATGAACATACGTTGTGGGGGCTTTAACAACAACAACAAAAGAGTCCTTTTTTAAAAGGTGTGCATGAAGAAAGAACATAAAATAATAGAAGTTGACCCTCTGGATGTGGAACCAATAAAGATGAAGAGCCGGTTTGGATGCTATTCCATAGTCAGACACAATGGTGACTTTTTCATTGTAGTCGATGAAAGGGCTTTACTCAGCAAGTAATATCAAGTCAAGAGAGGTTCCCACAATTGATTTTCTGGACCACACATTCATAGGATGCTAAGTATTTACTAAGGCCTGTGTTGTCTCAATTTGTGTGGTATGTTGGGGGATCCTAAGGCTACTTCCATGTGCTTTCATTCCCTATGAGTACCCCCGAGACACTAGGAGTGCTCACAACTGATTTGTTACACTGAAAGGATACAAAGCAAAAGAGCAAAGAGGAGAGGTAGGTAGGATGAAATCTGGAGGATATCAGGTGTGAGTTTCTGAGTTCTCTCCTTATGGAATCACAATGTACTAGGTTTCTTGAGCACTAAATTGTGATAACATGTAACTGTCACCAGAGAAGCACTAGAGATTCGGGGCCCTAGATTTTTTATTGGGGGGCTGGTCACTTAGGCATTCTCTGCCTGGCATTTACCAAAAACAGAGACTCTCAGAAGGATAATAGATATTGAGCATAAACCACGTTGCACAGAGTTTAGGCACTGTGAGCTACTCTTAGTGAATATTAGGAATCCTTCAGAGCAATCCAAGTATCCAGATACTGATCAAGAATGAGCCTTGCAAGCAGGCCTCTCCAAAGATAGCAGTCTCAGCTCTGTGTTGTTAAACTTCTCAGCAGACATGATGTCAAAAACCCAGTGTCTTGATTTTGGTTTGTTTTTGTTTTGTTTTGTTTTTTGCTGTTGTAAGATACCATAATAGGTTGTTAGGGAATTTGTTACAGAAAACTCAGGAGATGAAAAAAAAAAATTATTTGTTGTCCTCCCAACCCAGAAGACTGCAGATATGGCTTATTGGTTTAAAGTTCCTGAGAAATAGGATGGATTCTACACAGTTGAAAATGTCTCTCCATAAAGTATTATTAAGTATAAAAGAAAACAGAGGAGGTCTATAATGGAGAAATCCTGTTAATACTCTCAGCCAAGATGTTCATTTCACTGATAATAGAACAAACCAACATTTTAGGCCTCCTGATAGGATGTCGCTTCACCATTATTACTTCCAAAAAATAGACAATCAAATCTAATCATGAGGGAATATCAGATAAACCCAAATTGACAAGACAGTTTCCTGCTTCACAATTAATTGACTCGAGGGAGCATAATTGAACAAAGACTCATGCTGCTGTGTTCTAAAATCTACCACCAGATTTGTGTAAAGGCCAGTCTTACCATGATTGCTCCCGGTCAACACAATAAGAATCCTAAGATCCTTGGAGGCTGGACTCCTCTATACAGTGAATTTTTTTCAGGGACTCTCTGACAGCTTTGGAGAACTTAGATTACAAGGCAGTCTAGGATGGTCACCAAATCTTTCATCCAAAATTTCTTCACTTGGGGTTACACTTGTACCATGATCTCATGGCTCAGGCAGCCTCTGCCCCAAGCTCCCTATCATTTTCTCTCATAGATGTT